TCGGAGCCCAGCCAGAAAGGGAAGCGTGCAGTCCAGGGACTTGGCAGGAGGCTCTGCTAGGAGGGGTCTGGAGAGCCCCCCTCCCCCAGTGTGGGAGGAGAACTGGAGGGGCGCCCAAACTGGGCAGCCACCGGAAGTCTCGGGGAAGAGAGAACTTTCCAAAGGGGTTTCTGAAACCAAAGGGACCTTTACCTGGAAATGGTGCTTGAATGCTAATTCCCCTTGGAGCCAACTTGGAAAAGCGAGAGTGCTAAAGGAATCCTGTTGGGGTCCAACCCCAGCAGGTCCAGGGGTCCCCAAAGGTGTGGACGGAGTCGGCGAAGAAGGAATGACATGGAGACTGGGTTCAGTTCATCAGCATAGCGAGGTTCTCCCTCCAGGATCTCCAGCCAAGTTCTGTCCAAGATCTCCAGCCAAGTTCTGTGTACAGGTTCTCTCGCTAGGTTCTGTTTCTAGGTTCTGTCTCTTGTTGTCTTGTTACATCTGTATTTATACCAGTTGATTCCAATCCTATCAATCTCTATTCCAAAGGTTAGGGCGTTTCTTATCTCCATTCCAGGGAGTAAAGATTATGTAGCTTAAGTGTGATTGTTTGTAGTTAAAGTGATTAACTACCCGCCTGGCACTTAGTTAAGGGGTTTTATCCCCTCCCTAACTTCAGGGAAAAATCCCTACCTGGGGAAACAACCTTTCTCGGAGAGGTGACCTTGGTTAAAACACATAGCGCCAAGAAGGTGAGCAAACGTATTAAGAACAGTATGCCATATATGCCAGGTCCCTTGAAACAGCAAGGATGGACCGGCTCCCGGCAGAATCCAGGCTGCCCAATGGACCGAGGCTGGAGATAGAATGGGTGCAGATGAGTGGAAGTATCCATGGATTGCCTCCATGAGAGCTTGCTCTCTCTGTGGTCAATCTATGACGTCTAGTAATATGTAAAAGATGTTAGTTCTTTTTTGTTTCTTTAAAAAATAGAAGTTTGCTCAACTTTTATGGAAACTTTTATGGGGATGGTCTGTATTGTCACACAAACTTGGGATTGAATTAGTTTCAGCATGTGACCTTGGACAAGTCACTTTGTCTGTTTTCTGCCATACAATGGAAGTAGTAGTCCTCACCCTATATGACTGTTGAGGCTGATGTGTGATTAATGTATGTAAAATGGCTGGCATGGTGCCTGATGATTAGTAAGAGACCAATTAATAAGTTTTTATCAGTAGTTCTACCATAATTATTATTACCATAGTTTTCTATGGCTACTATAACAAACTAGAAGCCCAGTGCACGAATTCGTGCACCAGTGGGGTCCCTCGGCCTAGCCTGCTGGATTGGGCTGAAACCGGCTCTCCAACATCCCCCGAGGGGTCCTGGATTGCAAGAGGGTGCAGGCCAGCCCAAGGGACCCCACTGGTGCATGATCGGGGCCGAGGAGGGACATGGGAGGTTGGCCAGCCGGGAAGGGATCATGGGAGGGCTCCAGGGTGTGTCCAGCCCGTCTCGCTCAGTCCCAATCAGCTGGACCCCAGCAGCAAGCTAACCTACCAGTCGGAGCATCTACCCCCTGGGGGTCCGTACACATCATAGCGACTGGTTGACCGGTCAACTATCTGCCCCCTGATGGTCAGTGCACATCATAGCAAGCACTTGAGGGGCCTTAGCATATCATTAGCATATTACGCTTTGATTGGTTGAACGGACGACCAGACACTTAGCATGTTAGGCTTTTATTATATAGGATTGCCACAAATTTATCCTTTTGCAGTCTGTAAGTCAGAAGTCCAGCCTGGGTCTCGCTGAGCTAAAACTAGGGTGTCGGAGGTGGGGCCGTGAGCCTTTCTGGAGATTCTAGGGGAGAATCTGTCTTCTGCTCATTTGGGTTGTCGGCAGAATTAAAGTCCTTGAAGCTTTAAAATCAAGTTCCTATGTCATTGTACCTGTGAGCAGAGGCCATTCCCAGTGCCTCGAGTCTGCTGCACCCCTGGGCTCCTGTCCTTCTTCCTCCACCCTCAATGCTCAGGGTCACATCCTTTTCACATTGCAGCTCCTGACCTCAGACAGGAATGGTCCTCTGATTTCAAGAGCTCATGAGCTTAGATTGAGCTGACTGGGGATGACCCAGGATCGCCTCCCATCTCAAGGTGTGCAGCCTAAGTCCATCCGCAGAGTCCCACTTGCTGTAGAAGGGGACACATTCTCAGATTCTGGGGATGAGGATGTGGACACCTTTGGGACCATTATTCTTAGTTTGGATGGCCTGCAAGATGGGCAGCCGAGCCACCGGAAGGCCTTCTCATGAGCAGTGCCTTGCAGGGGACCAGGCATGCCCTTGGAAGCTGTCCTCACTCCGATCCTCGGCCTGAGCTGCCTGATTTCTGCTACGATCGACCATTTTGCATGAGCACCAGGCAACCGAGAGCACTGAAGTTGCTACGCTTCCTCTGTGGGTAGAGGATGGCCTGTGACTGAGCCTGTGACATAGGGGAGAGAGCTGGGAAGGGCTGTGTAACAGGAAACACTGAATCAGGTTGATTTAGTAATCTGGCCACTTATAACATGTCAGGGGTCTTAAGCTGACTGTTACCTGGACCTACAGTGTTATCTGAGGCCCTGTCCTGTGGGCTTTGATGGGTTAGGCTTGGAGTGATATGTTTATTTACTGCCACGGGTCCTGGAGAGAACAGTGTCCCCCAAATCCCAGCAGACTGTCAACTCCTCTGCCTGTCATCCCTCCAGACAGGGAGAGCTCTGGTGCGTTAGGAAACGTGAGGTGGGAAAGTGCTGCTGTGAGCAAGGAACTAGGAGACCTGGTCTCTGCGGCTGGTCCAACCTGTTCCTTCGTCCCCTGGGACTTGGTGCCGGCAATATCTTGCAGCGGGCGAGGCACTGTGGGAGATACAGGGAGTAGGACATTTGTGGTCAATGTTCTGAATATGAAAAGGTAAGACTCAGGCTTGATGAACGGTACAACACAGGGAGGCATGATCTGCTGAAGTGAACGAGGTGGTCCGTGGGCACCTTGGCCTTCGGGGCTTATTTTCCTCTTGCTGGGCTGCCTGCTCCCACCTGGAGGAGGGCTGAGTGAGGTGGTGGACCATCACCTTAAAGGGCTGTACTTGGGAGATAGAATGGCATCCTGTTCATTAAGCACCTAATGCGTGTCCATCACTTTCTGTAGATTATGATGTTTAATTTTCACAATGATCTCCAGAGGTAGGTTTGATGTTGGGTATGGAAATGAGGGTTGGAGAACCTAAGGTCACCATCCGGAACATGGAAGACCCTGGATTTGAACCCGTATTTTTTTTAGCTCTGACCCTGAGCTCTGTCCCTCCCAGGAGGCACCTCCCTGTTAGCTCTCTCTGTGCCCCTCTGTGGAGCCTCTGAGAGCGGAGGGGGAGGTGGGCATGAGTGAGGTCTGCCCAGGCCTCCAAGACACCTCAGCTTTCAGAGAGAAGCAGAAGGTAGATGCTGTACCTCGCCCTCGTCTCGCAGACGCGGAAGGTTACTTAGGTAGTTAATGCCTAGACCAGGGTGGCAACCTTTTTGTGAGTGCGTGCCCAAACCAGCAAAATCTCTGACTCAAAATTCTTCTGCGTGCCAACCCTAATTTTTTGAGAACATGTTACACCTACTTGATATTTCTTAAGGTGTACGTATGTGAAGAACCTTGAAGAAATAATAAAATTCATTCGAGCGACAAAAACACTGTATATGATGATGAAAAATACATTTATTTTTTAATGTATACATGTACACTGATAGTCCGACAGAAAACTTTATGACTCCATTTGATATTATCAGTGGGACTTTTGCTGCTGCATCATTGATGACAGAGATTTTACATCAGGTTTATATTTCGTGACCTTCAGAGAAATGCACGAGCTACTACTTTCATCCGTCAGGCTACTCCTATTATGAGACTTAACAAAATTCATCACTGAGAACAAAGATTCACAATTGTAAATGGAAGATTATAAGAGAGGGTTTCGTGTGCCAGCAAAAGTTACTGGCGTGCCATGTTTGGCACGCGTGCCAGGGCTTGCCCACCCCTGGCCTAGACATCTTCTATTGTTGCTGTGTATTCAGCCCTGTTTTATTTACTGGTGCTTTTCTTCCAGAAGGGACCAAGGAAAGGGGCCAGAGTCCCTGCTTTCTTCTTCTTTTCCCCCCCCCCCCCCCAACCTGAGGATATTTTCCCATTGATTTTTAGAGAGAGAGGAAGAGAGAGGGAAAGACAGAGAAATAGCAATGTGAAAGACACGAGCCCTGACACGAGCCCTGGGGAGGAGCCTGCAACCAAGGTACATGCCTTTGACCAGAATGGAACCCAGCACTTCGGTCCGCAGGCCAACGCTCTATCCACTGAGCAAAACTGGTGTTAACGTAAAAAAAACCATTGAAACCTGTAAAGAATTTTTGTGAGTTTATTTGAGCCAAACTGTTGACATTTGCCAGGAAGCAGAATCTCAATGGATTGAGATAGTGCTCCAGAGCAGTGGTTCTCAACCTTCTGGCCCTTTAAATACAGTTCCTCATGTTGTGACCCAACCATAAAATTATTTTCGTTGCTACTTCATAACTGTAATGTTGCTACTGTTTTGAATCGTCATGTTAATATCTGATATGCAGTTTGGTGAAGGAATTTGTAGTATCTGTCCTGGCGCCCAGAACATTTGGTTGTGCCCCAGGGGCTCCAGAAAAAAGGGAAGTTACAAGTTACCCAGACATTTCAAGGGTATGTTATCTTAGAGGCAAAAAGGCAAATGGGCTCAGTAAGGATCAAAGTTGATCTTGTCAGTGAAGATACTGGCCTAGGACATAACTGCCCACCATAACTGCTTTTAGTTAAAGTTTAATTTCCTTTGTGCCTTTGTGGTTATTTTAGGTCTCTGAGTCTGCAAAACTGCCATGCAGGCCTCTCCTGAGCTTGTCAGGTCAGCATGTGGCCCCTTTCGTCCACACAGGCTAGGACTGTCCCTGCTTCCCAACATGAGCACAGGCCCTAGGGTCAGGGGAGAGGGCAGGCAGCTTGGCAGATGTCCCAAGAACCAGGCACGGTGGTCCATCAGAAGTTTCTGTTGCTGTTGCCAAGGGTGATTCTTCCATGTGGATTGGTGTGGGAGTGGAAGAAGATACCCTAAAAAGGAAAGAAGAGTTTGAGGTAAGAGTTAGGCTTTAGGAACCAGAAATATCTAACCTTTTAATAATAGCAACATTTATTAAGTATTTATTATATGCCAGGGACTGTGCTGTTCAAAAATATTTGATATTGCCATCATATCCATTTTATAGATGAGAAAGCTGAGGTTCAGAGAAGTTAAACCATGTCCCTGGTCACACAGCATTAAAACCCAAGCCCTGTTTGCCTCCTGAAACCACATGCCCATTATACCGCCCTGCCCTACGCCAAACCAGCAGGCTCTCCTCCTTTACTTAAGCTTAATTTTTGAGTAAATGGCCCAGGGAAAGGATGGAGAACCTCTTTTCCCTGGAGCCGAGACTGGAATTCTTGGTTTCTGCTGTGTTCCCCCAGGCGCTTGACAGCTGCTCAGGAGCTGCTTGAGAGCACAGTCCTCCCAGGGCCACCAGATACAAATCTGGAGCAGAGCACTTGGGGGGGGGGGGGGGGGGGGGGGGGGGGGTGTTTGAGTGAAGGTTTCTTGGACAATAGGACATTCCTGTCTAAGCCCCAGAGCATGGCAGCCAGGGCACCTGAATGTGGAAGCAATGGTAGAGGCCTGGGGACCCTTGGCCCTGGGGCATGAGAATCAGAAGCCATGGCATACCCACCCCCTGGACATCTGAGGGAGCAGGGTCCTCCTCACAGGGAGAAGGGGGCTCAGGAGCCTCCCCACGCCCACTGCAGCCGCACCAAGCCCTTAGGCGCTCTCTCACTTCTCACTTCCTCATTCCTTCCCAGTTTTGTCTTCCTAGAAGCTCAAACTCCTCTCCTGAGCATCGGAAGCCCTCAGGGGGAGGCTGCAGGATATCTAAATGGCGCCATCTCATAATATCACCCCTCCATCCTGCCAGGAGCACTCACCAGCTGCCCGCCCTCCAATCCTCCCAGGACACTGGCCCCAGAGCACCTTGCCTCTCAGGTTCTGGGCTTTGCTCTCCTCTCAGCTTGCTGGCCTGGCAGAATGTTATTCACTGTTCGGGGCCTTTCTGACATGTGACTTTCTCTTCGAAGAAAACTGCCGTGCCCATCCTTCTATCCCCACTCATGAGGACTCTCTCTTCAGTGCTCCTGGAACCAGACAATGGACGGGTCTGACTGCTGGTCACTACTTGAGCCAATGAAGCAGGGACAGGGTTGAATCATATGAGTGTTTATTCCAATCCTGCTGGCAGCCTGAGCAGCAGGTCGTCCACAGAATCTGCTCTCCCCCTGCCATAAGCCGGCTGCTTATATTGGTAGAAGGACGAAGATTTCAGGGGGAAGTAGCAGAAGGAATAAAAGTGGGTAAAATGGTTACAGCTTACCAGCAATGCAGTGGGGGGTCACAAGGTTGTTAGTCTTTCCATGAAGACAGGCAGTTCTCGGATAAGGAGAATGGGCTGCATCCCCAGGTTAACTCCTAGTTCCCGGGCATACAGCTCCCAGCCAGGCCAGAATGTGCTTTCTTTAATCAGAACAGAACAATCACGGTTAGCAGAGCATGACTGACGTTTCTGATAACTATAGCTAGTCCCTCCTATTCTGTTTCTGCCCCTAACACTGCCATGCCAGGTGTGAGCTGAGTTACACACCTGCAAGAGGGCAGCATTCTGGCTGGGGAAGGAGGGCAGCTGTTGCCTGCTGTGTGCCTGCTCCTCTCTGGGACACCCACATGCAGTCTGGCTCTTCTCAGACACAGCGGAGTGCACTGTGTCAGCAGGTGACCTTCAGAAGGAGGGTTGTATGTGGTTGGCCCAGCATCGCAGGCCCCTCCCAGCTGGGCTTCTATGCCTGACTGCCCCCACCCCCACCCCAGGTGTCTCCCGCAGTGGGGTGGGCCAGCCTCAGCCTCCTCCTCTCCCACCTGCCCTGGGTGCTTCTCCCTTCATCTCTCAGATACAGCGGCAGCTGCCTGCGGGAGGAAAGGGGTTGGCGGGGGGGGGGGACCGGCGCCAGGCTCTTGAAGAGGCTTCTCAGGGGCACCGGAAGGAATTCAGTTGGAGGGAAAGTAGAGAGGAACTGGGGGGAAGCCAGCCCAGGGCAGGAGTGGGGACCCGAGAAGCCAGGAGAGAAGCCCAGGCTGAGAGCCCCAAGCTGAGAACTGCCGAGTTCTCAGTGTCGTGTCACTGCTCTGGTCTCCGTTTCTTATGCCAGGTCCTCCCGGCTCCCTTCAGCGGTGTGTTTTGGGTTTCCATGCAGTTTCTCTCTCTTGAAGCTGCAACCTGCATTTTTAGCCTCCCCATGTTCCCTGCTGTTTCTCCCCCTTGTCTTGTCCCTCTGCCCTTCTAAGTATTTACTGTTCACCTGGGTCTAGATGACTCCTGATGAAGTGCCTTTTGCCTACCTGCTCAGGCAGTTTTATAGACACATTCAGCAAGGACAGAGGCCAAGGCCTGGTTTCAGAGCCCGAAGGAAATACGAAGAGAGAGCAGAGCTGGCTGCTTAGATCAGGTTTTAATAAAGTTCCCAGCTGACCTAAATCATCCCATCACCCGCAGCCAGCTGCTGAGCGTATCAGCCAGCTCCGTGCTGCCGCACCAACCTGGGGCAGGTGAGGAAACATGGGATTGGGCTGGAGGACACAGAGGGGGGACCCTACTGGGGAGGAAATGCCCATCTCCAGCAGGGGACCCTCCTTGAGGGCCAGGGCAGGGCACCGTGAAGTGTTCCAGGTAAAGGCTCTCCCAGGGGAAGGCGGTTGCCTGCTCTTTCCCAGCTGTTAATTTGTTGCTCATGATGAGATAATCCATAAAAATTAGCAGTGATTTCCTTCATTGTGTTAATATCACTGGCAATAAAACTGCTGTTAAGGATGCCTTTTCTCTGCATGGAGGAGTAGGATGTCTAGGAAAAAAAACAGCTCTCTGTGGCGGTGGAGGGGGAAAAGGAAACAAAACTGGAGAGAGAAATACAGGGGGAGTGATTTCCACGCTTTGGCTGGAAGTATGGGGGGAAAGTAAATGAAATGCAAGCTCTGGTGTCTCGCAGAGCACTGGCTATGAAGAAATGCATGTGGTGGTGACACCTTGGTTTCAATGGGCAGGTATATGGGTGGCCAGAGGGCTTCCCAGGGCACTCAGTGGAGGCAAAGATGGTGACAGCCAGAGCCCCTGGCTTCAGCTTCAGCCTTGGTCAGGGCATTGGCATGGGCCCCCAGGACAATTCTCTGCAGAAGGTCCATACTTGCTTATGAGGCCTATAAAGCCCGACATGATCTGGCCTTGACTCTCTTCATCTGCATCCCCTAAAGCTATATATATATATCTTATATAATAAAAGGCTAATATGCAAGTTGACCTTAATGGAAGAATGACCAGTTGCTATGATGCACACTGACCACCAGGGGGAAGACACTCAATGCAGAATCTGCCCCCTGGTGGTTAGTGTGCTCCCACAGGGGGATCTCCACTCAGCCACAAGCTGGGCTGACAGCTGCGAGTGCAGTGGTGGTGGTGGGAACCTCTCCCGCCTCCTCAGCAGCTCTAAGGATGTTTGACTGTGGCTTAGGCCCGCTCCCAAGAGGAAGCGGGCCTAAGCCATCAGTCAGACATCCCTTGAGGGCTCTCAGGCTGACAGAGGGATGTCTGACTGCCAGCTTAGTCCTGATCCCCCAGGGAATGGGCCTAAGCCAGCAGGTGGATATCCCCCAAGGGGTCCAGAACTGTGGGAGGATACAGGCCAAGCTGAGGGACCCACCGAGTGCACAAATTTTTGTGCACCAGGCCTCTAGTATATATATAATTGATTTCTGAGAGGAAGGAAGAAGGAGAGATAGAAACACCAATGATGTGAGAGAATCATTGATTGGCTGCCTCTTGTATGCCCCCTACTGGGGATTGAGCCCACAACCCAGGCATTGCCCTGAATCAAACCATGACCTCCTGGTTCATAGGTTGATGTTCAACCACTGATCCACACCGGCCTGGCTCTCCTGAAGCTCTTGTCCTCTGTGGCCAAACTCTACCCACACTAGCTAATGTCAATTTCTTGTGTACCAGGAGTCTTCCTGTTTAGGACTTTTACACATACAGTTTTGTTTTTCTTGACCATGATTTGACCCTCCCCCTCCCTTTCTCTTTTCCGTCTGGCCAACTCTTGTGCATCTCTCAGATAAAATGAAATTTCTTCAGATAATCCTTCTTTGAACTGTACTCCTAGTACCCGGCACAATTTACACATTGCATATGGATGGATAAAGTGTTTTCCCTGCTTAAACCCTTCCCCAGTTGCTCATTGCCTCCAGGATTAGGTGTAAACTCAGCTGCATATAGTACCTGTATTAATTTGCTAGGGCTGCCATAATAAATACGATAGACTCGCTATCTTAAACAACTGAAATTTACTTCTCATGGTTCTGGAGACTGGAAGTCCAAGGTCAAGATGCTGGAAGGCTTGGTTTCTCCTGAGCCCTTTCTCATTGGCTTGTAGAAGGCTGCCTTCTCATCATTTCCTCACACGGTCACAGGTGTCTCTCTGTGTTTCCAAATTTCCTTTTCTTTTAAGGACAACAGTCAAATTGAATTAGGACCTGGCCTAATGACCTCATTGTAACTTATCATCTCTTTAAGGGACCTATCTTCAAATATAGTCATAATTTGAAATACAGGAGGTTAGGGCTTCAACATATGAATTTTGAGGGAACATAATTCAGCCCATAACAATACCCATGCGATTTAGCCCCTGCCTAAGTCACCAGGAACATGTCTAACCTACCCGCCCAACTCTGTATTCTGCTTCACATCCATGAACATGCCGTACTTTTTGGTCACCATACCCAGAAGGCTTTTGTCCATGTGTTTGCCTGATGAGAATCCAGACAAATGCTCTAAATCCCAGTTTAAATGTGAAGTTCCCCATGAAGTTTTCTCTGACACTGTTTTCCCCTCCCTGTTAAGGTTCGTAACCTTCTTCTGGATCATCATGCCTTATAAACACCTTTATTACAGCAGGTTTGCGTATAGTCTTTTGAGAGCACTGACTAACACAATCTGCATACTCCATAAATTATTGAGTGAACAAATGAATGAGTGAGTTGAAGGTTCAAGAAATGGTTTAGGGTTTAATAATTCAGGACAGAGATGATGCTGCCGTAAACTAGGAGGACAACAATGGAGATGGCAAGAAATAAACAGATCTTTTTGAAATTGAATTGATTGGTCTTGGTAGTAGATGAAAGATGGAGGATGAAAGAAAGTTCAAGAATGACAAGGTTTCTGGCTTGACCAACTAGGTAGCTAGAGGTATCTTTTGTTAAGAAGAGGAAGAATGGGCCCAGCCAGTGTGGCTCAGTGGTTGAACATCAACCTATGATCCAGGAGGTCCCAGTTTAATTCCAGTCACGGCATATGCTAGGGTTGGGAGTTCAATCCCCAGTAGGGGGCATGCAGGAGGCAGCCAATCAATAATTCTCTCTCATCATTGATGTTTCTAACTCTCCCTCTTCCTTCCTCTCTGAAATCAATAAAAAATATTAAAAAAACACAGAGGAAGAATGGAAGAGGAGCAGCCTTGGGGTTAGGGTATGGGTTGAGGGGAGTTCGAGAATTCCATTTATTTGAGATGTTTAGAAGACATCCAAGTAAAGATGTCAGGCCGTCAAATGTGTATAAGATGGTAGATCGCCGAAGACTGGTCTTGGGCAGATATATAAGTAGGGAAGTCATTGGCATGTAAGTAGTATTCAGAGTCATGGGATCAGGCGGGCAGTCTCCTAGGGAGAGAATGGTGTGGAGGGACCAGGATTGAGCAACCTAATATGATCACTCAAAAAAAGGAAGCTCCGTTATGCAAAACAGATATAGTTCACTGAATCCACAATAAGTGACAGGATTAAAGTATCTATAAGACTTAACCAGTCAACATATTTTAACTGGCAAGAAATAATCAGAAGCTGTGAACTTTAGGCATATTAGCCAATTATGCTAGGCTAGCCACAGCAAAGTGGAGGATGGTTTTGACAAAGCAGAATGTATTTGGTAGACCAGCTGATACCAGCTTTTGGCCTCACATACATCCCAGATAAAGCAAACATTAGCCTGGAGTGTCCATTTGCCAGCCAGGGAAAATTTTCCCTAGTGATGTGTTGGAAGATTCCCAGGGAATAAATCATGGACACAGTCTTGCAAATGAGTACAGAATTTCTCCAGACCATTAACACTTTTTGGTAAGCCTTCTTTTTTTCTGGGAAGAAAGCAGAGTGAAATGAATAGGATGTGCATTTAATTTACTTGATGGATGATTGACCCTTTCATTCATGTATACTCAATATTATGAAGAAACTGCTATAAGTCTAGGTTAAGAAGAAAAATAAGGATAGTATTTGATCTCTGGCCTCCAACATCTTGCGGAGACAATATTAACATGTATGAAAAGTTGAATGACAGTGTAAGACACTTCATAAGTATAGGAAGGCAAAACATATTTAAGTGCCCAATGAATGCTACAGACAATACATGGTATAAGAGCTTAGTAGAGAGAGAATTCACTCTCTATATAGAAGTCATCACAGTAAAAGCAGTCTTAAGAGGGAAATTCATAGCAATACAGGCCTAACTTAAGAAACAAGAAAAACTCAAATGAGCAGCCTCACCTTACAACTGATGGAACTAGGAAAGAATAACAAACAAAGCCCAAAGTGAGGAGAAGAAAGGAAGTAATAAGGATCAGAGTGAAATAAATGATATAGAATCTTTAAAAAGCAATGAAAAAGATGAATGAAGCCAAGAGCTGGTTCTTTGAAAAGATAAACAGCCCTGGTCAGTGTTGCTCAGTGGTTAGAGTGCTGGCCCATGCACTGAAGGGGCACAGGTTGCATTCCCCATCAAGGGCACATACCTGGGTTGCAGATTGGATCCCCAGCCCTTGTCGGGGCATTTGTGGGAGGCAACCAATCGATGTGTCTCTCTCACATTGATGTTTCTCTCTCTCTCTCTCTTTTCCCCTCCCTCCCTTTCACTCTCTGTAAAAATCAATAGAAAAAATATCCATGGGTGAGGATTAACAGCAATAACAACAACAAAAAGATAAACACGATTTATAAATCCTTAGCCAGATTTATTAAGAAAAAAAGAGATAGGACACAAATAAAATCAGAAATGAAAGAGAAGTAACAATTGACACCACAGAAATATAAAGGATTATAAGAAAACTAGGGGCCCAGTGCATGAATTTGTGCACCATGAAAGGAACTGTGGGCCACGAGACTGCAGTGGGCACAGGGGTGGGTCTCAGCCCATCCTCTGCACCCTGCCTGGCCCCTCCCACTGCAGCCCCCGGTCCCCTGTCTGCTGGTAGCCCTGCTCCTGCTGCTGCCCTTCCACACACTGACCCTGATGGCACTGGCCCTGCTCACACCTGCTGACGGCATGGTACGATTGGGGCAGGCGCCAGCAGCAGGTGTGAGC